GGACACTTGGCAAGACAGCCCACTTCCCAAGGAACAAAGCTGTTCCCTTCATGATCCCTCACCGAAGTACCAAGCTGGGGGCACTGGCTAAGAGACGGGGCATTGGGGGAGGGATGATCGAACAAACATGCGCACACGGGCAAAAGCACATTCAGACTGGAGTAGACCGATCAATGAAGGAGCATGATGAATAGATAGGTAGATGGATGGATGGATGAATAGGTACATGGGTAGCTAAGTAGATGGGTACGGATAGATGTAGAGGTATGACATTTGTGTTGAAGCACCCTCCAACTAGATAACCTTCCTTTCAACACTCCGAGGTAGAGCTGCTGGACCTGTTGGGGGATGAGGGGATCCTGAAACTTTCTGCAGTCCTTAGAAATGTGTTTGGGTCTTGTGTGTGCGTGTGTGTGTGTGTGTGTGTGTGTATAGAAGACATTTTTTATTTATTTGTCTATAAATACGACCTATACGTACCTGGGCTAGGCGCTGCTTCGAAACACTCGTCGGGGAAGTGTTTGGGATTGTCAATGTAGGTGGTTGGAAGGGACCCGCTCCGCCGCGCCAAGGAATTTGCCCCTCCTCGAGCGCCTGCAGCAGCTCGACCAGCAGCCAGGCTTTGAAGAGCTCACCGTGGACCGGGAAGCGCTGCGGACCTTCTGCCTCTGAGAGATGGTGTAATTTTAAGGCGGCCTGGTGAGGAGCAACCAACGATCCAGGGCACCCGAAGTCTCGTAGATTTCGCGACACCCTGCCTGGACTCCTCGGAATGCTCTTCGCCAGAGCTGACTGCTTTTCCCCAGCTGTTTCACCCACACCATGAACGCCCATGACATCAGGATCCAACAAACTCAGGTGATCTAGCGTTTATTGAGGCAAGAGCTGTCGTGGGTTGTTCTAGATCGGCAATGCTCGATTCACGAACTCAAAGGCAAGTCCAGGCTCGGACAGGCTGTCCGGATTCCTCAGACCCGACCACCACAACAGCAAATTTAGGATCGAGTGGATTCGACCGACCATCAAAGCTTTGCTCATTTGACCCTCTCATTAGCCTTCTTATGTTTCGGAGGACATCGGGTGGAACTGTTAATGTCCTGGCTCCCTACAGACAAGCACGGACTATCTCAGACTGGCTCCAGCTTTCCTGGAGCCTGCACTTGCCCATCAAGCAGAGCTGAGCTTGGGTCGAGCTCAAGCCAGAAGCCCCGAAAGGACCGGCCACTGAGCGCGATTTGGGATTTTCAGATTCTAGTAGGCAACTTCAAAAAAGAGCCCCGAATACAGATCCTGTCGCTATCCTCTTAGTTCTTGAGTGAAGCTACGTGACTCCTGCAGACACATGAACGGTCTCTTCTGGAAAGAGACGAGTATGATGCGGCAGTACAGCCTCTGAGTGGCCATCGCGCTCAGCTAATGCCTTCTATAGCTCTTGGACATTGGATCATGAAGAAGTTTCACACCTATCGGAAAATGCGTGATGTCCGCAATCTGGGACTTAGGCATTTCCCCTTGGATGCATCTGGGTTTCGATCTTCAGAGTCGAGGAATTGGGGAAAGCTGGCTCTACAGGGCGCAGTCCTGAAGCTTCGGTTCGGTGGGTAGTGTAAGATCAGTAAGTTCCGCCTTGCACTCTTGACTCCGAGAAAAGCTGAGATGGAGGTAGCTGCTTGGTTTGGAAGCTCTACTCCCCAGTTCCCAGCATTGATTAATGAAAGATGTCGAATCACTCGAGCTTACGGCCTCCACCCATGCCCAACCTTCCCACTTTGGCATCCCCCAATCTGAGGGTTTCCGAAAATAGGGGACTTAAGGTACCCCTTATTTTCGGAAACTCCCATCTACCATCTTGAGAAAGGCCGGTCTGGCCAGGTTCCGAGGAGCCTCCACCCCGAGCTCGCGTGCTGCAAGCCGCCCGGAGGCCACCTCGGAGAGTGCCTTTTGAGTCTTTGGCACTCTTCACTTGCAGAAGAGGGCAGCGCAGATTCGCGCCAGGCCCTTGCCGACCCGTTAGCGCTTGGTGCGCGGGCCTCAGACGTCAGGACTGTGCAAATCCTAATCAATGTGCTAGTGCCCCGTGGAGCCACACGGCGGGAAGGGCAGTTGGCATACCTCCAAATGTTGAAAGCCTCACGACCAGTGCCGACAACTCTCGATCCAAGCAGCCAGCCTGCACTCCCGGACTCTTCCAGCTTGTAGATTCATGCCGCTCGAAGGCCCAAGCTCTTGGACAAAATTGCCCTGGCCCAAGGCTCAAAAGCCTTCAAACGACTCTCCCAAAAGCCTCCAAAGGCCTCTTCCAGAGCTCCCAGAGAGGAACTGCTCTGCTCCGCTGAGGTCAGTGGCTGTGGCCTGGGCGACGCGGCGGCCTGGCCCGCGAGCCCACAGTCGCCAGAGCCTTAGCTAGTACTACTGACTATAGCATATTAATATTAATAATAATAATAATATTATAATAATAATAAGCTAGTACTAGTGGTACTACTAGCTGTAGGGATTTTGAAGCTGGACGTCTCTTTCGATGTGAAAGACAGTCTTTCATTATGCCACCCCGTGATCGTTCTTATCAGGGTCAAGACGAGTAGGATCATGATGACACTGAGGATGCAGATGAAGAGGAAGAAGAGGATGGTGACGAGCGAAGGTGGCAAATGATGCTGATGAGAGCACTGCTGAATGAAGATGGTGTATGGTCAGGATACGGGTGATAATCATGGTGGTAACGATGATCCAAGAGCCGGCTGGAGCTTCGAAAGTCCATTCCTAAGCTGTGCGATGCATACAGGCTGCAAGTGCCAGGCTTTTTGAAGATGTGACATGTGTGTGTGCGCCTCAGTAGCTTACAACCGGCTTGTTGCATGATATGCTTCTCCTTGGCATGAAGACGAGGCCGTTAAGTTCGGTGCCATGGGCTGAAACTCAACCCGATGATACAGATATTACTGTGTATGCAGGCCACTACCTATGAACAGATTACAAATCCAAAAGACACAACACAACTCTTCTTCGTCCATGCCCAAGGCCAAAATTGACATGGAGCCTGTCTGGCTGGCTGACCAACAACAACAAGTCAGATCCGAAAAAGGCAAACATTCAAACAGCTCCACAATCCGAAATGGAATAAAACCATCAGTTTCATGCTGCGTCGAGGTGCGGCGGAACCCCGCCTACACGCCGTAGTGGGCGCCATCAGTCGGCAGAGCCGATGCAGATGGAAGATGTGGAGGCCCGGTCAAAGTTCAGTGAGCATTCCCACGGAGAGAGCAGGCGAAGGTGCTTTGCGTCGAGAAAATGACGGAAAACCCCGAAGAGTGTTGGTTGGGTCCGAGGACTGCATGAAATCAAGAAACGTGTGGCGTTGACGTGCGTTGTGCCGCTCTCCATAGCTGCACCTTCAAACTGCCGGCAGGTGGAGGATCATGTGCTCCACCCAAACTTTCGCCGCACCGATGCTGCACCGCCTCAGGCAAAGTAATTTGGGAGGGGCTGTTTCCCAGGTCTAGGCCTCCTTAGGCAGAAGGTACATACATACCTTGACATACAGAAACACAACATATGTATAATATATAGGTCTAATAGATATGTGTGTGTAGACAGAACGATGTGCACATAACGCATAGAGGCTTTCTCATAGAAGAAATCCTTTGTCATGTGTCCTGAATCGTCCGCATCATCTGCAAACACGCACCCCCCTCCCAGCCCCAGCCGCAAGCAGCAGGTTATCGTGACGAGATCGAACCAAGCTGCCCAAAGCCGTGTCAATCTCCGCCGCTCCGTGGACCAGCGAGCTTCGCTGCGCGAGAGAGACCGAAGTATGCCGCCGGGGGCCACGGAAAAGCCATGTGATGCCACCGGACAGCTTGGAGATTGTGCATAGCAGTCCGCCCGAAAGTTTTGCTATGATCATGGTCCGAAAGTGCAGGCCTTCAGCACAGCATGGTGTCAACTGATCTTGAAGCCTGTGTTCCCAGGTTTTCGACCTCGTTAGACGTGGATTTCCTGAGTCTTTTTGCCTCCTGATCGGCTAGAGATCACCGGATGATGACAAGTTTGCACCGTAGTTGCAAACTATGCAGGCGTCCTTCCGAACAGGTTTTCCCGTGTTAGATGTATTGGCGACATACCATGTTGCCTCTGATGTCTAGTCTGTTGATCTTGGAGTTGGGGACTTGTAGTTTTTGAGTCGTCATCATCCACCTGCTGGCAGTTGCGAGTGGACAGCCGCGCTATGGCCCGAAGTTGTGACTCGTTTCCAGCGCTTAGGTTAAGGCTTAGAGTTTTTTTGGGACCGTCTGGTCCACAAGTCTCGTTTTGGCCACCGAGTCCGGCCGAACAGTATCATGTTTGGATACTTCAAGCAGGCAGACCTCCTGCCAGGGAACCTCAACAGACCGGAGTTCAGCATGTAGGGCGGGCTGGCCGGTCCACACACAGCTTTCCCAGATTTTTCAAGTAGGATTCCTACTGCCGGAATCAAGCACTGCTTGAGCTGGCAGGCATGGTCTGATGTGCTTGCAGACGCAGATCTCGCCAAGTCTCCTACGTAAACCTTGCCTGCCAGAGGTTTGTCAGTACCTACATGCAGGCTAGCTCCGCAGAACATGTCCCATCAACCTCTGGGGCTAGCAGCTTCACGTCTCGGCTGCAAGGTGGCCGCAACAAGTGCAATGGATTCGTGCATCTACTTCGGCATTGTATATCCACAGTATCCTGAGGGTCAGAATGATATGCTCTCTACACCCATGGAAGGTTTTTCCAGCTTGAGTTTCGTGATCCCCTCTTCATGCTTCTGCTCTTGGTAGAGGAAGTCTCCATCGCAATATCGAAATTGTCAAGTCAGCATCTGAGTGGAGCAGTTGATGGTGGCAGCTGCCCACGCAGTGCAGAGCTAGACATCACAAGTCAGAGCTTCAAGGTCAGGGAGGTCACTGAGTTCGGGTTTGAGAAGGGTCATGTGAAGGTTGCATGGAAGCTGCGGAGCGCGAATCTTGCAGGAGCCCTGTCCAGCTGTAAGCCAACTATCTCAAATATCCGAAAGCACATTGCTGTGGACGTTACACGGGGCTCTTGTAGACCACCGAAAGAATCGGTTCAGCGGCATCTGATCATTCGCTCAAAGACATGACCTCAAAGCCTTAAGAACAGTAGAATAGTAGACTAAGAAGGGATGATTGTCGCCGCCCCCTGCCCCGGATATCCAACGCCGGGTGCTCGGCTGGGTCTTCCGGGTATCTCCGAAGGCTTGTGAAGCCAGTAGTCGGACTTCGGCGGTATGCAGCGTCTAAGTATCATCTTCTTGGTGAGGAGGAGGAGGTTTAGTGGAGCTCGAAAAATCCAAGAAAGCTGAGATCTTTTTCGGGACCCGATCGTAGCATGATCTCTGCGAAGTACTTTACGGAAACAACCTGTGCTGATGGTATCCTGAGAACCGTTTTATGATGCAGAACTGGGACAGTCTTCCGACATTGAAGATGTACCTGGTGAACCCCGGACCCCAGCCCCGCTTCGCAAGCTATCATCCCGCACTCTATTGCTCTCGGAGAGACCCGGGCGTAGTTTCGTCTCACTTTCTTACTGCTCGATTCCCTGGCCTTCGAATGGGAAGCTCTTTGGCCCCACATCTAGTCAGATCCTGCTTGAATGTTGTCTTCTTGGACACCGTGCCCATAAATAAGTTCTGCTGCAGTGGCAGCGAGACAAGTACAGGGACAGTTGGCAGCAACTGGCCAGATCAACTGTCTGCAGAACTTACGACTTGCTGCTGTATCGGATTGACAGCAGTTTCTTCACTTCGCTGGGAAGCAGGGCCGCAGTGGGGATTTCTTTCAAGAGCTGGTGTGCAAAAGGTTTATCCCGTTGAAGCAACAGGATCGCAGGACAACGAAGCCCCCAACGCTGGAAGGTCAAAGGGCCCTTCGAAGGCTTGGTAATCTCTTTTGCCTGCACTAGATGCTTTGGCAATGATAGGGTAATTCTTGCATGCGCCATCACAATGAAAAAGCACTGCATTCGTCTCTTCTTTCAACAGCTTCATGTGCCCCGATATTTCCACTGGTTTGCAAGGCACTATCCATCAAAAATCACGTAAAATAACCAAGGAATTCTGTAATATGAATGAACTCATACTAAGGTTGTACATGGTAACTTCGACAACTAAGTTTTGACAAGTATTTGGAAATTTGTATTCTGGATTCTGGATGAGTCTATTTATTTTGGACATCGTGGGTCTAGGTCTGAAGATTTTTGAATTTATGTTTAAGTCTATGTTGAAGTCGCATTGAAATGGGGGAGTATACGTCGGTTATAATACCTTATTATCTTAGTCTAAATAATTATTGAAGTATAAACGTAAGTGAGATAAATTGGTTTTGATGCTCTCTGAATGAATTAAGATATGGAGTAGATTCACTAAACTTATAAGTTTAGGGAATTGCTTTTTCTTATTTAATCTAGATATTGGATATAATATGTTATTATAATATTCGTTCTCTCGGCGGGGTTAATTATATATAATTGAATTTTAGCTTTGGAATATTCTATTCGATGATATATAATATATGATATTTAGTAATATAATTGGTTATCTTCTTCTATTGAATTTCGATAAGAATATTAATTTGTCCCCCATTAGGATTAATTAATTCTGAATTTAGTCGATTTGATTTCTTTATTATATAAATAAGATGAACTCTTAATTGGAGAGGAAATTTAATAAATAAAGGTTATATCTAGATTGTTTCTAGGTATATTTAGATTTTTTTAATCTGATTATTGATTTTTTTCTAATTAAAGAATCAATTTAGTCGTAATATAATTTTAAAATTAATTAAAATGATTGAATA